ATACTTGTCCACAAGCAAGTGGCCAGGACAGAGACCATAGCTAGTAATTTCCTTTTCCTGACATTTATTTCCACATTCATCCCTTCAGGAAGCAGTAGCAGGGCCATCACTGGATTTCCACAGCTGTTCATGTATCACTTTGTGCCAGAACAGTAACCTCAGCGACAGTAGACAGGAAGCAATACAGTAATATCCTCCCCATACCATGGATTTACAAGTACAAACTATCTCCTATGACTAGCTTTTCATTAGCAGAATTTCACAAAGAGAATTGCTGAGGTTCAGGAAGTGCAATATGCATATACAAAGCAGACAGAGGAACCAAGTTACTTTAATCCTAATGACAGATGCTTCTAACATACACTGAGACACTAAAATCTGTTAAAAGGGAAAAAGAGGGAAAGATAAAATTCTGCACCACACTGTTCTGCTAAGTTATCAAAGGAAATCTGGAAACACTGGGCTCTGATTACAAATTTGGTCATGGAAACATGGCTCTAGGAAAAAAATATTAGAAAGAATTAAAGCTATATCTCCCTTTGCTTTTCAAAAGTACAAAGCAGCCAGACAAAGAGATTCAAAACACCAGTGGCCCTAGCCCCATTTGACTGAGCAGTCGGACAAGCAAACATATCTCACTGCATATGTGCCTTCTCCAGACAAAAATCCCACTGAAGGGGAGTTCCTTCACGTATTGACTGCAAGATGAGAAGACAAGATCAGAAGATATTTAGCATGCAAACACAGTCATACACATTCCTGACCAATTGTTTCAACATACATCATTTAGATATAAATATCTAAATATCTATCTAGCTTCTAGAGCAGAAGCTATACAGTAATGCCTACAGTTGCATACTACTGCATCATCAGACATTTCCTTTAAAAAGCACTGAGGAACATCTCTAATTATAAAAACATTTTATTTTATTCTAAGTCATCTGCTCTCATGTTTTACATTTTATCTCAACAGCCATAAAAGTATCTGAATAAACCCTCATGGAAGTTAAGTCTCTAGTTATGTGCAACATGCAATTCCTACAACCTCCTATACCCTCACCCAACAAGATGGGTTGCACTGGATCTTCTTGTCTCATGATACAGTGCATTGTCCCTGAACCTCCACTTCCATCTCACCAAAGAACTTCAGCTGGCCTCTTGCTCAGTGGAAAGAGACAGGGGTAACTCAGCACAGCAGTCATCATCAATACACTGCCATTGCCTCCTCCTCCAGCTGTAGCACATGGAGCTCATTTTATTTTCAAAATCTTCTATTTGATTCATCTCCTGGACACTTAGGAGACCACCAGCTGGTCCCTGAAGATTAAAGACTACTTAAATGTGAAAGAGATATTGTTCTTATGTAGCCTGTTAGCTACACATGGACAAGCAAAGGCAGGAATGGCCTGGGGAAGATACTTAAGGAATTTAAGCTGAAATCCTCAAGTATATCCTATTGCTTTCAGTAAGTAAGGCATCTCATGAGCATCAATTTTATATGATCTGCAGGAAATCTTTTGATTTTCAAACACTGGTGCAAAATTAATCTCTCCATCCTAAAACTTGATCTGAACTAAGATCATGGAGAACTGGTGTGTAACAAGAATCTATATAATCTGATTAATCAGAACTGATTAAATTCCATTGGTCAGTTTGGACAGTGCTGTCTAGAACTGTATTTTAAAAGCATATAATCTTGATGTTATATCTCTTCTGATTAGCCCTTCAAAAGAATATTCATGTGAGTTGGAGCTGCAGCATCTCTGCTGAAGTATTCTGATGACATAATGGGTCATTATAAATATATAATTTTCCAGAGTGTAACAATCCCATCTATTCAGGGTAGGTCAGAGCATCAAGTTACTGTGCCCTCCCTAACAAAATTTTTACTATCTCTTAGGTCAGAGGGATCCTGTTTAAATGCAAAACTACTTTGTAATTACAATTTGCAAAACAATGGGAGAAATGCTCACAAACTAGTTTGCTGATAAAGCAGGATTTTGTCAGAGTAGGACATTGTTTAAAGGTTTACCCTGGAGGCACGAGCTGTTTTCTAAAGTACTGCTAAATGACAGAAGAAGATACACTTACACTCAATACAAGGAAATGCCAAGAATAAAACCTGGAAACAATTTACTTGCAAATAACAGTACAAATACCAGAAATCTGTGCGTCCACATATTGGCTACCGATGATAGGCATTCACCATCATATATGCCAGTTTGTCAAGAAGGGAACGCTTCTGGAGGAGGGTATGACAGAGCAGTTATTTTATACTTTATCAGTATACAACACCCAAAAATGCTGATGTTCAGTACTTAGCTTTTTATCCATTATTTCCTATGACTTTTTCCTCCTAATATTGCAAAGAGCAACTGCTTTTTACAACATTCTAAATGATGTTTAATACTTAGATTAAATGAGATCTGGGGGCAGAGAAGTATTAAGTGTAGAGATGATTCTGTTTTAACAGACTCCTGGCCTTTGTCATAAGTAAGCTATCAAACTTAGACCCAACAAAATCCATCAGGAGAGCAGTAGCTTTGCCAGCAGCTGTTACAAAGGGAGTATGGAATAATTTTAAATCAAGGCCAATAACTTCTATTGGGATTAGACAAATTCACAGATGGTGGAACCACCACTGGCTATGAAAAACAAGAGTCCACATGCAACCGCTCTCAATTTTTAACCAGAAAGGGTGGGTGAGCAGAAAGCAAGCCACTTGGATTTGTTTCTTTTCTTGTCCTCCAAGGTGTAGCTGTTGTGAAATGGAGGTAGCAGAAAAGGAAAGCAAGGCATGACAGCATATCACCTACAAGCAATATGCTGGACCTCTTCTCCTATGTCCCTCAAATCTGTGGTGCTGATGCTGTGAAAGGCATGCCATCCTAGAACAGAGGGCAAGGAGACAGCAACTCAAAAGACAGAGGAAAAAAGATGTACGTAGCAAGGGAGGCAGAAGAAATGACAAGGAAAGAGAAACAGCAATGACCTGAGCCCAAATTCCCAATCACTTGCCTGAAAAAACTTTTGGTCCAACACAATTTGTGAGTTCTGATCACATCAGCCAGATGTCCAGGAGAGACAATTCCTTGTACAACATCAGCAAATTAGTCCAGTCTCCAGTTGTGACTAATGTCTGGTAGAAAGCTGTAAGGGAGAGAAAACATGAATGCAATCTGGCCAGTTATGCACTGAGGAGAATAAAGAAAACAAACACACACAAAGTCTCTGAACATGCAGGTGTCAACACAAACACAAAAGACTGATAAATTTGTTTTCTTCGTGTGGGTCTGTAGTATGGTGAGCACAGAGAATAGGAGTGATTCTTACATTGGCTGCTTGCAGGAGGCCAATAGATAGCACAGTGGTCATGTCAAACACTTATGTGAAGGTAGATCCACAGGGGTTCCACCACTTTGGTCTGTTTTCGCATTTTTTATCTGCAGTGAAGCTTGTGATGGCAGCCACATGGGAAGAGGCAATTACGTTTCTGTCAACGGTTGCAGCATACCTGCAAAATACTGTATCCCTTCAGTACCCCATCTCAAGGACTGCAAAAGCCTGCTCAGAGAGTCTGAGGCTGAGCACACTGAGGAAAGCTTGTGTGCAGTGACTCACAGGAGGAGCCTACCACCTTATGGGCCTATCTCAAGGGTTGGAAAAACCCCAACCTATTTTATTCTCTCCGTTTCTTCACTTGAGCACAACTCAGCCCACTGCACTGTGCAGGAGAAGCACAGACATACCAGGAGAACTGTTGCAGTGGAGCTGAGCACCAGTGCAAGATGTAACAGGGACTGATTTAAAAACGCCAGCTTTGAGACCTGCTGTTACAAGGTACAGCTCTCAGAGTGAAACAAGAGAGACTTTAGAGAAGCATCTTCTTGCTGTTCCTGATTAAATGAAGCATTACTGCCCACTTGAGACTCTCTATGTTCTGCTGTTCAAGTACAATTATTACTCCACCCTCAACAGTGCTTTCATGCCCACCTCTGATAAGACATGGGGCTGTTTTGCCTGCTTTATCCGATCTTGCTTTGCCACATAGTCCACAGGAATTGGTCCTGCCAGACCTCAACCAGCCATATAGCACAGACCAGAACTATAAAAAGCCAGTGCACTCCCCACCTCAGAGCAAAGGGAAAGCCTGGAGAGAAGAGATGCTGACAGTTATTTTCCTCATTGACTCTTTTCATACTTTCTAGTCACTCACTACAAGCTCCATAAATACCTGCAGAGTCAAAATACCGTCCTCAGGAGTTGGAGTAGTGACCTTGATAACTGATACTGCCAATACAAAGTCCTTTCCTTGGAAAGAATTGCCCCCAGTACAGTCTTTTGCTCATTCAGTCTTCTTTCTCCTTCAAGCAAAATCTGCCAGAACTGACTACTTTCAATTCATTTTTTTCCTTCCTCCTTTTCTTTATTTTATTTTTTGTGTTGTCCCAGCCTCCCCTCTCAGAGGTGTCTCCCTGGGGAAATTCATGTCCCTTGTACTTTTTACTCTGTGTGCATAATAGAACATTATCTGCATAATTTATCTTTCACTACATGTTGTCTTCCTTCTGGCTAAGTGTTTTTCTAAAATAAATATATATCCTCATTGTGTACACTGAGGAAAAGAGCCAACAAGCACATTCTATGTGAGAACTCTATGATACCCAAAATCTAAACCACTAATAATATGTTAGCTCAGTCCTTTAGGTCAAATGCAACTGTAAAGCTGATCTTCCTCCTGCCTCTCTCTGTATTTTTCAGTGTTTCATTATTTCTGTAGATTCAATGAAACCCCCACAAGGCTGAATCCAGATAAAATTTGGGATTGAAATACAACCCACAAAGTAAGAGAATTCAATGAGATAAGAGAAAAATGACTCTGTTTTTACTGCCTTTTATCACAACTCTGAATGGCAGGGTATGAAACAACAGTAGATCTATGGGACTGGGCAGGGTGGGAGCATTGGTCATGGACTAATTAGCATGATCATAACACCTAGAGCACATGTGGCAGAGGTGTTGCTTCCTTGTAGCATGCTTTCAAGAAGCACAGCTGCCAGATAGTACATATTACAGTTCACAGTATGCAGTGGAGCTGACAAAGAATTTGACCATGTCTTGAAGTTAAACATGCTGGGGCTGTTGTGGTCCAGTCGACACAATCTTCAGCCAGCTTCTCTTGAGCATAAGGACAGCATAGTGCTTTGCTGATGTTATGGGGATTTCCAGGTGTTTATAGCTATGAGCAAGAAAATTTGAGAGAAAAACATAACAAAACAGATTATTTTCTATTGTAGCCTGAGGTCTTGTAGCAAATCTGAATCACAACATATTAGGGTGAAAACACATTCTGAATACTGAGGGAGTTAAAAATATTTCCTCTTCATTCATTTTACTATGTGACTACATCTGTACAATTAAAAGTGAATTTGGTTTTTCCATGTTTCTTGCCATTTTCCTTGATGATGATTTCAAAAGTGCCCCAGTTTTTCTCCTTACCACAACACTGTTATGACCCCTGTTTTGTACCATCCTTTCCATTTGCAACAGTTCATCAGCAAACTCAGGTCCTAAGTGCTGAGTCTATTCCATGTGAGGACTGAGTTTAAAACTTGCAATAATAGGCAAATCCAAGAACAAGGGTTAGAGTTTCCTCTCAAATTCCTCACATTTCTACTTTCTATGGATATCTTTGGATAGGATGTATTGGCCTTGGAGATTCTAGATCTCTCCAAGGGCCATTTATGCGACCAATTCAGGTTCCTAAGAACAGGTGTTTAGTACCACTTCAAATTATCAAGGTTCTCCCACTCGACTTCTGAAAGTGCTGGTTCTCCAGAAAACCCAGTGTGGATGTCCCGGACACTCTTGGGAATTCATAGTAGCATTAGAAGTGTAGGCGCCTGAATTTCTCCCAAGGCTCAGACCTGTTTTTGTCATGGCTATGGTTGCATTGAGTGTATCTCAAGCCATGGGGCTTTTTTTACTGGGTTACACTAGCAGATTTGTACCAAACCAAGAGAATCTGACTAGATGCAGGTCTGAAAGTCCTCCAGATGTTTTGCTGTCCCATCCACAGTGTCTCCATTTACACATTTTATAGTGTCTCCTTTCTGATTTCCTTAGATCAATTTATGTTTTTTAGGGGAAGAACCTGAATAAGGCAAAGGGAAAATAACTTCATTAGCTCACTATTAATCCCCTGGTGCTCTGTCAGAAGACTAATGGCCTAGTTTAAGAAGCATCATTGTCAGGTGGCTCTTTTTTAATAGGATTCCCACAGTGCAATAAGAGGCAGCCCTTGCATCTAAAAAATGAAATATGGGAGGAGAAACTTCGATCTCAACAGATCCAGTTTGGATTTTATTAAAGACCTCTAGAGCTAGGAATGTGTCTTATGTTGAAACCAGATGTAAAGACCCCAAAATATGAAAAAAAATTCTGTCTCTCTTCTTTGATAGTAATGCAAAGCTCTGTTGTGCATTTTTATAATTTAACAGAAAAGCTCAATCCAGACACAAAAGCTGTAGAAAATTGAGCTGTTTTCATTATAGGTTCTTTGATAATCTCTGAGTCTTTGAGGTTCCTACCCAGGGAAGTGAACACAGAGAGACAAACATGGAGGAGAGCTTGTACATGGCCACAATGGGAAGGGAAAGAAGTGAGGAAGGTTTAACCCAAAACACAATAAAGCTTTTCAAAGCATTCCATCTCAACATCAGCTGTTCCTTACAGATTTTTTTCTGAAGTCAAGAGGCCACAGTCAAGGACTTTTTTGGAGGAAAGAAGTTTTATTCCTGTCCTTGTTTTGCCATATCCATTATTATCCCTTAATAACAAAAGTTTCTATCTCATATGCTCATCAGAGCCAAGAAGACAGTATGTAATATGATCATCTGCCGCCAGAGCTACTATCTGGATTTAGACTTTGATTGCTCTTTTCTGTGAATGCCTCTATCACATATATGTCATCAGAGTGGGATCCAACACAAGTGTCCTTGAGGCATTGCTTCTTCATCACACTACCATTGCTTCTTTTGTTTTCTCTGTGTTTGGTCAATAGTGTGTTATTAGTACTGGGAAGAAGTTGTCCTCTATGCTGTATCAGGGCAGACATACATCTGCTAGCCTGGCTTTCCTTCAAAGCACATGAAAGGATCTCCAGAATAAAGTTACAATAGGAAAAGGTAAGAAAAGTGGTCAGCTGCCTCCCCTTTGCTTGACTAGAAGCACATGTCCAATATCAGCCATCTTCTTGTCTCTTAGGGGAAAAAAATACCACAAATCCACCTCCAAACACTCTAATTTCAAAATCAGGATCTGTGAGCCTAGTTAATCATAATGTAAGACTGTTCCTTGGGAACAGCTATGAGCACTCGCTCAAATGTCAACACTTAAAGCAAAGACTAATGTAAGTACAGTCACCTTATTAATACTAGCTGTCCTAGAGATTTAATGATTTGAAGAAAGAACCTGAGTTGTAATAAAACTAAATAGCATCATCTGAAAGACATTAGATAAGTCTAAAGGAAAGTCTTGCCACACAGAAATATTTTTCCACCAATTTTTCTCTTAGTTAAAATCATATTTGTACAAGAATATGGTGAGGATAAGAATATGTCATGAGCTGTAATTGAAGGGAATTGATTTCACTCCCTCAGCCTGTATTGGTAAAACCTCAGCTTCCTCCAGTTTTGGGCACTGGACCTCAAAAAAAAGAAGTGGAACAACTGCAGAAATTCCAGAGGAGAGAAATGTGAACTGTCAAAGATCAAAGACCATGAGCTTTAAGAGAGCAATGAGGAAGCTGGTGGTTCAGACAGAGAAAACCAATGGAGAGAGCATAAGAGCCATCAGTTGTATAAAGGTTGTTGGAAAGAGGAAAGAAATAATCTGTTTGTCATGACCAGGATGGCTAGCACAAGAAATAATGGGCTTAAGTGGCAGCAAGAGATATGAGGGTTAGACATCAGGAAAAGCTTCCTAATGGTGAGAGGAGTAAGGGACTGAAGTAGATTGCCTGAGGCGTGGAAGAATCTCTCTGTTGGAGGCTTTTAAAGAACAAACATCCATCAGAAATGGTATACAGAGATTCTTGCTAAAGGGGGAGAAAAATGGATAAAGAAAACTCTTAAAGCTCTTTTTCCCTTTTTTCTCTGATCTTATAAAGTTACTAAAGAGACCCCAGCCCACTCAAAATCCCAAGGACATGGTCAGAGACAGCTATAACAAAGCCTTCTGCAGTGAAATTGCAGAGTTCTTATAAACTTCTCAACAAGCCAGAGGGCTGCCTAGAATAATCTGCAGTATGTTATACCAAGGCGGCAAGTGAACCTCTGCCGCTTTATTTTACATGATGTTTAAACAATGGACTAGCTTCCAGTAATACAATTCGTTTCACTGATACCTCCAAAACTACCTGTGTGGTGAAAGTTAGGTGTGTCCTTGCTGAATCAGATTCTAACTACAGCACCCTGTCCTGGGCCAGTGAAATATTCTTCACTGACAATGCAAAACTTTGAGGTATAGAAGTTTCTATATTCTGTAGTAGCTTCATAATCTAACACATGAGGAAACAGTCCTGTCATTATCAGATAATGGCCCTAAATGAGAAGGGCAACATTCCCAAGGTCCAGCACCTTTTATTATTGCATTATAAATATATTACTGTTTGCCAGACTGACCTTTCCCAGGCTTTCTTCATATCAGTGATAGAGGAACAAGCTCTCTGGGGTCCTCTGAATGTAATTGCTTTCCTTTGTGTGTAAGAAGAGATTGACTTTTATTCAAGGGTGATATCTGCAGCCTTAATTTAGTAATTTTCATTATGAGGAATGTGGACTCTACTATGACTTCTGCCAAGCACATCTTGAGAGTGAACTTCTTGCAATTTCATGTTGCCACCTATGAAGGAGAAAGGAGAAACAAGGTTTGTTTTATCTGCTTGCCAGAAGACAGGAGGTCCCTGTGGAGTACTTCCCAAGGTTTCTTTGACCGGTCACTGTGCATCAACCCTTGGTTTGCCCACTTGCACTAGCATAAGCATTTTTTTACTTTGTAATGGTGCGTTGGACCTGAAAGCCAATATGTGGTCATGACAGGGTTCCAGAAACATCCGATTATACTCCTTTGCAAGGGAGAGGTTTTCCCATGCCCGCTAAGGGAATTCTCCTCTGTCTTGAAGTGAAAAGTGACATATTTTGTCTACAAGTGTTACCTTGGAACTTGTCCTGTAAGAAGTCAGGACGTGCCACACGCCCTGAAGTGCTCATGAGACCTCTGCTATGGAAGCAGGACAGCTGGCGATCCAGGTTTCACTATTTAGTAAATGAAAGGGAATATTGCACAGGAAGTACCAGGAAGTCAGTGGCTCTAAATACTTGCACAGTTGTGTGCTTACCCCCTAGATAAATTCAAGAGGACTTCATTTAAGGTCATAGACTTGCCACACTAATATTGGAATGAAATCTTCTCTGTTTAACTTCATTAAAAGCCTCAGGCAAGAGAGATTAAATTTAACCTCAGCATCATTCGTTTCAAACAGCATATAGTAATGCTGAATGAGCTGGAAGGAGAGGTATTTAATGTATTTATTTGTGTGGTATTATCAAATTTGAGGCCCAAAGACTGAAATCCTGCTCTTCACAGTAATGTGTACACATTGGTTAATATGATTTGTTCTGGGAGAAAAACCACATTGAGATATGCTAGATGGTGAAAGTAAATATTGTGTGCAAAGCAGTAAGGGGGGGAACGAGGTGAGAGAGAAGAGAGAAATGAAATTATATATCCAAGGACACTCAGGAAACCCATGTCACGGCAGGGAACTGAATTCACATCTGTTCTGTTCCAGCTCAGCACCTTTTCTACAAGCAACCTCCCTCAACGTACTTCATTTGTGGTTAAAACCCCAAAGAGGGAAAAGAAGAAACAAGAAAAGGAAATACTGCAGGAACATTAATCCCACTATTGAGTATTTTTCATGGTGTCCAGGTAGTTAAACTCAGTCTTCAATAATATATGACAGAAAGTAATGCAATTTAAATCAGGAGAGGAAGACAGCAGGCTAGGGGAGGTAAAGGTGAGTGCTGAAGCGCACAAGCCAAAAGAGACTATATTGTAGAAAAAAAAGCTGTGAGCCATAATAACAGCTTTTCTTAACAGAATTTAACTAGGTTAGAGTGACCTCCAAGAGGTGCCAGAATTTTAACAGCCAAATTCTAATGTGAAGGATTATGGATATTTCTGTATAAATTGCTCTTGTTTTACATAGACCGTTTTGCTGAGTACAATGTTAATTTTGCAGCTCCACTGGAGCAGCAGGTTATAAGAAGATAAACAGAAAATTATGCCTCTAGCAGCTGATGGATACCTTGGTTAAGAGGGATGATAAAACTATTTACATGAAAATATTAAAGGAATGCAGGGCATACCAGCTTTTTAGCAGTGCTGCTCTGAATGGGGTGGGGGAAGGTGGCAATAGGTGGGAAAGGACATATTTTCTTCACTCTGATTTTTACCCAAACCACAGCTATAATCAAGAGAAGACTTTTCTTCTTTAGCTGCATGTTCTTCTCTGAATGTCTTTCCTTGTGTAATTCTGCATCAAGAACTGGAGTGAATTCCCCTCTGAGATGAAATTCAGGGTGTAATCCATGGTGTTGACAGAGCAGGAAAGGGGAAATTGAACAGAGACAACCCTCAACCTGTTCTGGGAACATAAACCCAAATGCACTGGAGTGGTTGAAATACAGGGAGCTCATAACTTCCCATGTTTCCAGCCCCTGAATCTGTGGACTTTTTTACCTTTGTGTTTCCTCTGTGCAGCCACAGCAAAGTTGATGAGGGTAGAGAAAAAGGAGAAAAGAAAGGGACATCAGGATCATGAAGTTTGAGCCAAGGTTGAGAACATCCCCATGCCTGATCCCAACTCTGCTTCAGGACATGCACTGTCTCCATCTGTGCTTAGGCCAACCCTGCATTGAGGGATGTACCCACTTCCCAAGGGACAGCAGGTGGGATAGGAAGGGAAAACTGGAGTCTGAACGCAATCAGCAACTTCCCAAAGCATCACCCTCAAAAACTCTGCAGCCATAACTCAACAGACTTAGGATTCAAGCTACATCAGCTGCGGCACAGGGGTGAGTGAGCAAGCAGATGAACTGCTTGAGACCAAGCCCTGGAAAGTGAAGATGGAGGAAGGAAGAGGTAATCATTCATGCCATGGTGGGAGATATGTCCTCCTGCCTCTCTGGCCAGAGTAGTTATAAGCTCCAAGGTCACCCAGCCGCAAACTTTCTTCTTGACTGGGCAGCTCCACTAGGGCTAATTCCAGGTATTAATGACCTAAAATTGTACATATTTAAGAATTAACCGTAACAAAATATTTTTATTTTTCAACCATCTACTTCCTCTCTTGATACTTGCTTCTCATTAGCTCTTTTAAAATGTGAGACAAGTGATTGTCATTCATTCCAGTTAAAAGTAAACATTTTTTTTTAAAGAGAAGGGATAGTACTGTGGTAGCCAGACTTGAACAACACCAATAGATTTACCTGCTCAAAATGACAGAGCCGAATTCAGTGGCTTTCAGCAAGGTAATATTAGCTCAGGTACAATCCCTCAGAACTCCACCTGGCCACAGTCATAAATTGCTGCCTCCATTACAGCTTTCCCAATACCATTTCCATGCTGGCTGCACACCAGCTTTATTGTAGTATAACGTGCATTTCGTAGGAGTGCAGCAGGAATGACAGAATGGGGTTAGGACGCTAGAAAAGCCACATTACTTTTTCATCCTAGGAGTTGCAAAAGGAGATAGAAAAGAGAAGGGCAAAGACACCAAAGGCTCAGCTCTAGGCTGCTGCTGCAACTGAGTGAAGAGAAAGACAGAAAAGAGCTGTGCTCACTCATCCAATCTAAATGTAGGAAAGTTTTTCATAGATATTTCCCACTAGTCTTTCACTTATTATGCATCAAGGGCAGAGATGTCTCCATTTTATTTTGCACTCTGTCATTCAGAGCTGGGCTAATCACTGCTGCTGAGAATGGAGACAGACAAATGGGAATTAATTTTTTCAAGTGTCCCCCATGTTGCTTATACACATGCCACAGCCCTGACTTGGCAACTTTGGAAAAACTGTCTTTGCATACAAAGATCTAAAGCATACAGTGAAAAGACAGGTATATATGACAAAGGAACCAAGGGACAATTCTGCTATGTCTTGGCCTTGAGTTAAGGTATCTAGAAGCAATCTTGGCTCTGATGTTCTCAGCACAACTTTAGTAATAATGTGTAATGAGCTCTGGGCAGAGATTACCAGGCCACGGAGACCACCCAGTGCCACACATTCCTGTGAGGACAGAGAGGGATGGGTTGGAAACAGCACAGCTACCTTCACTTCCCCCAAGCCCAGTTCAGCAAGGTCTGCTTTCACCACTGCAGCTATTGAGACAGAACTGGGCATGAATTTTAAGTGTGGGGTTTTTTCAGTCACTAGGAAGTAAGATGGGTTAGAGGTGGTGGTGTCTTGGAAAATGTTGGGTCTGGAACAGTCATCTCATTCCTTTTATCTACCCAAGCAGTAATGTCAGAGGAGAGTCTGAGGCCATCATCCTCTCATCTTGACTTTTCCAGGCAACGAATAAAATTTGTTTTTAAAAATCTGCATATTTATATTTCCAAAGAAATAAGAGAGAAAATACAGATGAGCTTCTTCAAGGGGAACAGCAGACCTTAAAGTTTAATTCACAGGATGTTGTAACTGCACAGAGGTTGGTATTTGTGCTAGTCACTTGAGGGAGACAAAGAGCCACAGTGAATTTGCCTGGGTTTCATATGGTCAGCCTTCAAGGTAAAGAGAACTATAAAAACCTTATGATTGGTGCAAGGTCTGCAGATATCTATTAGATTCTGGAAGCAAAAGAATGAATAATGAGATGGAAAAATCTACAGGAGGACAGAGAATTAAACAGGACTTGAAAGGTCTCATGAGGCATTTCAGAAAGACCACCAAATATGAGAGAGTTGGTCAGCACAGCTTCAGACAACATTTATTGTAGGCAATGGCAAGGATTGGGATAGTTTGCCTGAAAGAATCTAAACTCACTGTAATATTTGGTAAGGGAAAGAAAGTCTGAGAACACAAAGGTCATTTCAATCAGCTCAGCATGATCAAACACTCTGATGCACCTGCTCAAAACATCTGTGGTGGTTAAACATCTGCTCCAGAGTCAAAATATTGGGAAACAGAAAATACCAGTGAGCTGTGCACTAGAGAAACCACAAGTCATTTCCTTGGTGAGTGCTGTGATCAGATCTGTGTCATAAGCCCAAGAGGAAATGTTGAAAAATGAACACAATTTGAAAAAAGGATTGTAAAGATAATATATTTTTCTCCATGGAGAAAAGCTAAAAAGCTGATGGCTATTGAATAGCAATCAGAAAGATGAATGAGATGATACACCACAGGCATGGTCACAAACATAAAATACCATATTTGGCACTTCTGCTTTCTCACTGACATTTGAGAAAGCAGTTTGGGACAATCTGCACAATTAAAACAGTAATTGTTTAGAAGACCCATAAAGAAAACACTTTTTTAAGTGTTTAAGCAAAAATAACCACTGGAACTCTGTGCTGTGTGATACAGCTGAACCAATCAGATATAACCTTCTGTAACCTAAACCAGATATTTGATATAAGTGGCACACAATGTGATTTCTAGCATGATTGATGCCAGAACATTTTTATTTTCTTGGCTCATATTGCTTTCTTTTTGGCAAGTTTCCTTCCTCTCTTTATGAAGATGAAGCTTGGCTTGCTAACTCACAGCCACATAAGAGATCTTTGTGGAAAGTTTAATCTGAAAGACCTGAGCCACCTCTCAGCTCAGAGTTTTTCTCTGGAAACACCACTCTCATGCTCAGGACTACAGAGGGAGCCTCTCTCTTGCCATTGACCTGCTTCACCACCTAGATTAGCTGGCTAACACCCTGTGCTGTGAAAACTCCCAGAAAGAAGCAAACACATTAGAGGAACTTCACTCAGCCGTTAAATTGGGATGTATCTACCTCTTTCTTAGGGGTCACAAATGAGATCAATTTACCATAAACCTCTAGAGATTCTGCAATATCAAGGCAGAGGTAGGTAAATGTTTCAGCTCTCTGTATAAATCTCTGGTCTGTTTATCATTGCAGTTTCAAAGCACTTATGTGAACCAAAAATAGTTTAGCAGTTCAATAGAGCAAGACAGTCACTGTATCCATGCTGGACTGGACATGTGTGTGTTAGCTGCATCACTGACCATAATAATGTCCTTAGGTATAAAAGCAATATTCATGTGCTCTTCCAGCTGACATTTCAGTGCAATTCGACATTAATAAAAGTACAACTGAAATACCAGTGCAGAATCCAGCTCAGTATAATTCACTGAAGCTGAAGAAACTGTGAAAGTCCTTCTGAAACTGTGGGTTGGTGCTGGGTCAAACAGACCTGTACATCAAAGGGTTAGCAACCACTGCACTGTCCTCCCTGTTACTACAGGCAGTCTGTCCTTGAAATGATGACAAATTGGTTTGGAAATACTCTGATGCACCTGGATGATTTTAGAAATGTAAAGGCCTGGGGGATTCCCTTTTCAACTGAAATGGGAAATATATTTTTATAAAAACCAGTCATGCTACTTTTGTTTTGTTTTCATCACTGTCTTTGGTGACAATGAAAGCAAAACATGCACAGTCCCGGGGAGATCCAGTATCCCACAGTCAGGCAGTAAATCAAACTTGTCTCCTGAGAGCATAGTCAGTGGCTTCAGTACACAACTGTAGCCAGTTTTCATCCTCTCCTTACCTAAGCTAATCCTCTCATTACCTATGGATGGACTTGACCTTGGTTTAGACCATTTTCCAATCTCTTGGGCAATCAAATAAGCAGAGATATGCCATAGCCTTAAGAGTTTTCCCCATGGCTGATTGGGATTAGCAACTTGAGAGGAAAGAGCAAGTAAATACTAAACCAGATGATAAATTCCATGTTTCACTCCTAGATGCTCTAAGGAAACATCCATTTCTTTGCTCTCACAGATCACCTTGTCCCTCAAGCAAATATACCATTTTCTTTCCTAACAGAGGTGTGAGTTACTTTAAGCCAATACTGGGATCAATACCAGCAGCCCTGGGACTTCTAATACAACACTGACTGTATAACTGGGTTATTAGCCTAGTACTCTGTCTACATCAAGGAACAGCTCCTAAACTTAAAAGTTAAATATCCTTTTGCCCTGGTGGTTCACAACCAAAGACCCAGTGTTGCATGTTTCAGAGTTGCTTCAAACTTTATGAAAAGTAAAAAACATCTATTAACATTTGAATTCTTTGGCTCTTATTTAGCCGTATAAGACCAAAACATAATCTAACACAGAGCTCTTTTTCTCTCAAAAGCTGTCCCTCTCCCTCTCTTGACAGCTTTTCAAGTACTGGATTGAAAAAAATTGACCATAATGTAGTATCAAATCCTGTGCTTGCCCCCACCCACATTATTGACTCATTTCCATCTCTACTGCAGAAGCGCAAAACCTTCTCCTTTAGGAGAGTCACACTGGAAGATAGATTTCTCCTCTTCAGGAGAGACTCCTGAAGATTTAACAGGATTTATAATGATCCACTGACATACTTACCAGGAGATGGCCCAAAGAAGGCAAAAGAGACTCCGACCCCAACGAAGATTCAAGGCAGATCTCTGTGGTTTTAGCCACAAATTCTTCACATACATGTTTTCTGCTTTATTCACACTGAAGTCAGCTTCAGAGACCACCACTCATTCATCTTTCCCCACCTCTTACTGATAATTCGCTGACTGTCTTTGACCGACGATTTAAAAAAAAAAAAAAAAAAGGTAGAATGGGACCAGCACAAGGTCAACTGTGACATGTGGTCCTTGGGGACAGTTAGTCAGGAGCTTCCTGGAGAGACTTTTTCAAGTTTGTTGAGTCCCTGAGCATAATGAGATACAGAAGAGAAGGATGGCAGTGCAAGGACATGGGGCTCCCTACAATCTGTTGATCTTGGGAGGAGGAAGGGCATGTTCCTTCGCTGCCTTTATGGACACCTTTCCTCCAGTGGTGATAAAGCATATGTCTGGAGCCCTATAGGGAGATATAGCTTTCTCTCTTTGTTTCACTTCCAGCCTCTGTCCCAGAGTGTGACCAAACATGAAAGACAATATATCAAGAACAAGCTCCTAGGGTTGATCATCCTTCTAGATATCACCTTTCTTTGCTTATTTGGACAAAATGCTTCCACATAGAGGCCTCACATAACTGATGGAGCTGAATCTCTTCTCTGCTCCTGTAGCATCAAGTGAATAATGAACTTCACTCCCACACCAAGCAAAGTAACTACTTCAGAAACTCTAATCAGACACATGAAAGCTCATGAGGATAAAACCAGATGTATTAAAAAACATATGTAATATGCATAATTTTGGCCACCCCTGAATCAGGGACTCCTTACACAAACCCCTCCCCACCTGCCTGCAGGTTATCCATATCCCCTGTTTGACAGACAAGAGGAACCTGTGCTCAGCTGTTCCCTCTGTGCAGAGATTAACTCATTGACAAGGCTCCTAGGAATGTGCCAGCTCATTAATTACCATAAGAACTGTGTCAGCAAGAAGTAGGCAAGGTGACCGCTGAAAATGGTCAGACACCCATCTATTAGTGCTTGCTACCTTGGCCATTACATGTCAAAAAACAAACCAATAACAGCTGGCAGATGCTTCTTAACTATGAAATATCACAAATTGCACACTTTGCTAATATAAAGCACTCATGTAAATCAATGTTGGTGGAACAGACTACAAAGAGCTTGTCCCCACAAGCTAGTCAGTCCCGTTCCAAGGTTGAAATTACTTCCTATGGGCACAATGGAGTCCTGAAAGTATGATGGGTCTCCCAGCAGTGGGAGATAGTATGGAAAAATCCCAACAGCTTTGACATGCCACCTCATCTATGTTTCTATCTGGCTGGTAGGAGAGAATTCATCTTCAGTAAAAGCTACTCCTGTTATTAACAGGGAGGGTTGCCAGAAGGTTGTCCCATAACTACCCCCCTGGGCCGTAAGGCAGAGAGAGACCAGACTCGCCAGGCTGAGATCTCAAATGTAATGTCTGCTTACGCAAGCAAGTACTTGAGTCACAACCCTGTGTTGTCTATAAAGGCAGGGAGGCAGCCACAGCCCATTTCAGATCTCACAGCTGGTAGCTCTTCCTGGTGCCTCCCTCAGAGAGGGAACATGACCACTAAGAAGTCTTTGATTTTCTATTAAAATTCATCATTATTCTTGTAATGCCAACACTAGGATAACGCGCCTGGGATTAGACCTAGGAAATCCATCAAGACCAATACTTAGTCACACTCAAGTGCTTTTATGCCACAGTTGCTATGAAGAGCAGCTTCAAAAACAGCCCCTTAAGAAGATCAAGAGGGCAGGGGGCCTCCTGACTGCTGTGCAGTTGAAGGCAGGGCTCTTCCCCAGACAGAGCCCATGCATTTTCAGTAAAGGGGCATTTGAATGTCAGGCAGTGGGAGGCAAAGTCTTGTCTATGTATCAAAGGTTTTGCTTCCCTTGGCTCAAGTGGAGTTAAAGAAATAGAATAAGCTGGAGAAATTTAAGGTTGTTCAACTTGCACAGAGCTCAGAAGAGCTCTGGTGTATCTGTAAGAACAAAAATGAAGATCCAGGTTACAGATTCCCTCTTCTCATACCCATCACAGGGCTGGTGAATTTGCACCCCGAAAGGAAAGTGCTAAGAGATATCTTGCCACATTCCCAATCATCTACCCATAACCCTTTCCAATCACTGCACTGAATCATAAGGGGTGACTTTCCCTCACGCCCTGTAACCAGCCTACTTCCTTCTGGCCTTTTTATTTGATAGATTTTAATTTTATCTTTCACCCTCTCCCTTTTCTTTGACTAGTCTCACTGTAGTTCGTAGGGCTAGGAAACATCTTTATCATCTGATATAAAAGGGATATGACAGGCCTGTGCTGTAAAACGCCAAGTGTCAAACCATAAGGAATTCCACAAATAACCGTTCAGATGCCCAAAGGGGGGAGGCAGGATATGGATGGCTCCCAAGTGCATGACTAAGTCCACCAGCACTGCAGAGACAGAAATGTGTCTCTGTCCAAGCTTGTAAGGTTTCCGGAGGTCATTATACATGGTGAGAGCAAGACCTGCCAGAGGGCAGACAGGCAATGCCATCACCTGAAACCTTTGTCAGAGGTCTTCCAGAGAACCATTGCCTCTGGGTGACAGCATTAGCTGTGTCACACACCTGGAGTGATTGCCTTGAATAAATCGGCATTTGCTCATGAAAGCACAAAATGAGTGACCTGGATTCGCCTAAGGGATGTGTAGTGAGGTGTGGAAACAAATTAGTAAAGGAAATCTGTGAGAGAATCTCCTGTCAGTGATGAGGCAGGAACAGGATGATGCTGAGAGCTGGGGGAGATTTGGTGCAGACCAGGGAGAAAGCAGAGAAGCCTGTTGTGTTGGAGGAAAGAGGAGAAGGAGATGCTCCCCTGGGAGATGGTGGGATGGGAGATTAAAGGGGGGGAGGGGGCCGGGAAGGAAGGTGGAGGGGAAACCAGAAATGGAGGCTAGCAATTCAGATAAAATGGATTAGATGGGGATAAAGGCAGCTGGAAGGAACTCAAAGAACATGAGATTAAGAGGTGCACGTGAGAGTTGATCAGTGTTCATGGGAAATGAGAAAGCTGGGTCATCTGGATCCTGCTAATGGCTTCTAGAAAAGAAGAGTCTGAACAGTTTGAGAGGGGGGATGGCCACAAAGCAGAACCGAGGTATATAAGACTCCAAGGTGCCCAGAGAAAGACTAGACCTCCTGATTACCCACTGAGATCATCAGACAGCAAGCTTAGAAACAGCACTGTTTGAAAAGCACAGGAACTCAGTGATATTGTGATACCCAGCTGCACTCAGGGCTGCCAGACACTGGACATGATCATGGGTGATATTAAATGGGGTACAAACACTGGACAGGAGTTTCTTACATTTCAATCTCTATTTAGCAACATGGTCCTGAGCCAGCTAGACTTATATCTGAGCCAGTATGGCAGACAGAGAAATAAATGAGAGAGACACCTCCATCCCTGGGGACATGCCACCACCCTAGGTGGGGCTCTGAGTGGCCCTGGTACAAGACTCACTCCCCAGGGACAGCCAAGCTCTGGGACTCCTTGCCTGGGCCAGAGAGTGCCATGAATCTGGTGTGCTAAACACACTGTCACCATTGCATTGCTTATCATATACTGGGAAAAAAAGGTAATTGAGAGGTCTGAACTGTGCAGTGAGCAGATGATAGAGAAACAGAAAAAATGTTGACTCAGTTCCTCGAAACTCTTTTCTGGGCTGGGAATCAACTCATGCCAGTTTGGTCAGGCAAGAGCAACTACATTGCTGCGCCAGGGGTCCTTCCAGCCTACAGCTCCGTTTGCCTTCCCCTGCCATCCTTAAGCATTTGCTAACAAATTGTTGCACTGAAGGTCCTGTGAAAAGGACTGGAGCAGATCCTTATTTTGAGAGACCAGGTCCAGGACCGTGGCCTTCATACAGCAGTGAGTGGGGCTGCCAAGTTCACCCCTTCATCAGGGATCTAGACTGCTTGAGTATGGGCATGTTACTACACAGAGGAGAGGGAAAAATACCTCCAAATTGGGCAGTAGATAGTCTGACTGTAGGCCTACTTACAAATACATGCATTAGCTCAGAAAGCAGTGCAAAGGCAGAAGCAATCAGCCAAAAGCAAGAGCACAGATGGTGCTTAAGTCCTCCTAAAATGCTGAAGAAATGCACATTTAACTACAGCCTCCATTAGATTAACTTCCTGTCTTTGGTGATCTAAAGACCATGGATTATCCTATTTGAGCTACTTTCTCTGCTAACTGCCCAGCCAGGTGTGTAAATAGTTAAATCACTTTATAAAAGTGTTCATGATTCTCATACTGCTGAGGAAATCCAAGTTAATAACTCTCCTTATTCTTATCATAGCTACCCTTGTTTTCTAAAGGCCCTGCAGAAACAGTCACATCTGCCCAGCCCTGCCAGCTGAGCCTCTGCTGTTGCTTCACCTTCAGGTCACATCCCAGAGCAGCAGCCTCCTTCCTCCCAGTCCCTTGAGCGCACCGGGTCCCACTGCTCAAACACAAGCACAGAGGCTTCTTTCTTCCCTTATTCCTGACAAACAAAAAGAGAAAAGCTGGAAGGAGAAAGAGAATAAAAAGGGAAGAAATGATGAAGAAGAACCTACTTTGAGCAGTGGGGTTAATCTGACTCAAATCTTAAATCCATGTTAGCAGTTAATCCAGTTAGTAAGGCTTTCATTGGGAGCTTTGAGAAATCCTTTAACCTCTTGCAGTAAACCAGAAGCGGCTTAACAGCTCAATGTTCATGAGAAAAGCCTGTCAATAATGCTGCTAAGCAGGTATTTAGCAGGATTTAAGAAACAAGCATGTGACAATTCTTCTTTAATGAAGCAATTGGGCTTCTCTCCAGGAAGGAAGTGGTCACTATTTCCTTAGTCTTGCCGGTGATCTACCTTTCAAGATTCAAAAGAAGATGCAGCTATGGTCTCTGTCAACTTGGAAAGTATTCCTTCTGGGGGAAACCACAGTAAAAAGCAGATTTTTTTTTAGTGTTTTTTATAAATCTC